AAATTCAGACGGACTAAACTTACTGAAGTGCTTTAAAATGCGAGTTGTATATGATATGGGACAATTTTCAGTGCAGGAGCTAATCATTAGTATTTATTTAAATCGAACGTGTCAAACAATCAGTAGGATATTTTAGAGTTTAAAACGTTGTTTGAAAATTGTTTCTTGCACTGTTGAAGCAATAGTTCACCCCAAAAACATGCGATATGTCGTTTTAATCTACCACATGTTGTTCCAAACTACTGTTTTTCTGTGAGGGAAAGAAATTTTAGAATTTATAAGGAAAGTTAATTTCCACTCAACAACGGACGTCAAGTTCCAAAAAAAGTTGAATATATTGGCTTGTGTGCTGTATTACAAGACATCTGAAGTAATTCTATGTAACTTCCCTTTTTGCGTAGCTCTGTAAATTTCTATGGCATTGCTGTCGAAGAGTAATAAGCTGGTGGAGTTAATGAAAGTTATCTTGAGCATTGTAATGTTTGAAGCAAATGTCTTAAATGTCAGTAGTCCGGGAACATTTAAAAATTAGTAAGATCTTACCCTCATGCTGTGGAAATACAAACCGGAAGATAGAAGGTCAATAGCTTTGTACAAGTTTTGTTTTTGTAAGGTAATGATGATGATGACCAATGGCAGCGAACCTGACGAGATCTTAAAAAGTTGTGCGGAAATAACTACATAAAGATTCTTTAGAAGTTATTTCTTAGAAGAAAAAAAATGTCATGCGGGTTTGAAAAGACATGAAGGCGATTAAATGATTTTTCATTTTTGGGGGAATTACAGAAAAAAGAACACTAGTGTACTTGAAGACAGAGAAAGAGATTGTACCACGGATTTTTTGTTGTTTTCTTCAATATGTAGACAGTGCATCTCTAATGATACACTATAATCAGTCATTCTCAACTTATTTTAATTAATGCAAGTATCTACAGTTAAGCAGGCTGCATATTGTGTTTTACATGCTGAATGCTGGATGGACGCCTACCTGCCTTGCTCTTTTATTGTGCACCGATCGGAATGGCTGCTCCGTAAGTTACTGGATTAATGTCGCTCTTTGTTAAGGTTTTTTATATTGCACCTTTAACGTTGCTCAGCACCAACGGCATCCAAAGCAGAACGAGATTCTTCTTACAAAAGAATCTTCCACATAGAAATGTGTCGAATGGCGCTAGGCAATGATTTCTTTGTTTTCTACATGTTTTCAGTGTTTTTAAAAGCAAAAGTAAACGGTGATAAAAAAAAAAAAGTGTTAAACTTAGCTATCTTGTTTATGGTACAGTCTGTTTGTCAAAGAACAATCTTATTTGTCACAATAGATAAAAGGCTATTCTTTACTCATTTTAAGTGCATGAAACATTGTAGTACATAATAGTCTATGCACATGTCAGGGGTCAAACTGATTGTACACAATTTAGCAAACGTGAACAGTTCTTGTTAAACAGATTTAAATGGTTAGTACTCCAGAACGCTCTATATATATAACGTACATGCATTTTTGGTTCTTTAATAAGCCTTGACGTAGGACAGTTTGACGCCAGTGTAGAACGCTGTTGTTTTGTACCGTTCTGTCCTGGTACGAGAGCTATTAGCAAATTTGCACTTTTTTCCATTTTGATTTTGTACCTCAAAACTGCTTAATGTATCTGATTGTAAGGAGATTACGATCTCGTTGTTTTCTGGTAATTTTGTGTTGTCCCACCTCTTAAAAAGGCAAAAAAATAAATGTTTTGAGAAGGCTTGTCTGGTACTTTGTAAGCGCACCATAAAGTTGGACCTGTCACTGCTGCCCCCTACTGAGTGGTGAATGACTTGCCATATAAAATTGACCAGTTAAAACACAAGAATCCATTTTATTTTCCCTAAAATTTACAAAGCAATACAACATTTTAACATTGCATTGGCATGCTTGTGAACCCTGTGAAAGATGACAAAGTTTGACTTTAAAACGATGGCGCTAGAAGACGCATAGTCCTATATAATACGACTTCTGAATTGGATAAAACTGCTTTGATACATTCCATCACATCTACATCCAGAATCTACAATCAAGAGCAACATTAAAAGCATGAACTTTAAAATACATCTCAGCATTCCTAACATCAAGTTTTGGCAAACTGTACGAGTAAAGAAATAATTTATAAATAATTTTCTTGCCATGATGAATATGAAGTGTAATGACTTAAAGGGATAGTTCACTTTGAAATACATTTTTGGTGTGTTTTAGCTTACCTCAAGGGCATCCAAGATGTAGGTGTCTTTGTTTCCGCAGTAGTTTCAATTTTGATATTTTTAGGTCAAACCGTTCTTGTCTGTCAGTCATATAATGCAGGTCTATGGGGTCCACCTCAAAGAGCATGCACAGAGAAGTCCAAATTAAACATGATTTAATGACTCGTAAATGTAAGTACACATTGATGGCCTAAGACACGAAACGAGCGGTTTGTATGAGAAAACGAACAGTATTTATATCGTTTTTACCTCTTGTAAACACAGCCACGTCCAAGTGATCTGAGGGCGCGGGCGCTTCGGTCTGCGCAAGCGCCGGAAGTGATCTCTCGCGCGTGTACGTCACTCATTGTTTACACAGAACAGAGTTTGTAGGTAAGACGGCTAATTAAAATGGTACTAATTTGCGCTTATCCGGGATGTTTAAACCGTCGTAAAAGAAAACAATTACGTATGCTCGCGCGAACTCATCCGGGAGTGGTGAGTTTTCACAAATTCCCAATTTATGAGCCTTCTCTCTTGAAGTTATGGTTGATCGCGGTTCCCGGAAAAGACCGAAGCGCCGGCGCCCTCAGATCACTTGGATGTGGCTGTGGTTACAAGAGGTAAAAACGATATAAATACTGTTCGTTTTCTCATACAAACTGCTCGTTTCGTGTCTTAGGCCATCAATGAGTACTTACATTTACGAGTCATTAAATCATGTTTAATCTGGACTTCTCTGTGCGTGCTCTTTGAGGTGGTGACCATAGACCTGCATTATATGACTGACAGACAAGAACGGTTTGACCTAAAATATCAAAATTTAAACTTCTGCGGAAACAAAGACACCTACATCTTGGATGCCCTTGAGATAAGCTAAAACATACCAAAAATTAATTTCAAAGTGAACTATCCCTTTAAACACTTAATCGAAGTAGTAGTTTTGTAGGAAGATGCTGTCCAGGCCATTGAAGACGGGCTGATGGTTGTAAATCAGAGCTTTTTCCTCTTCACTTTGCGAAGAAAAACGATGATGGTTTTTCATTGCTGAAACAGACAGTAAGCACATCAATACAGTGGTCAGAAAGTAAAACATCTCGGACTATGCTGCTTAAAATCTCTTGAATGTTGATTGTTTTCGAAACAAACCCAAGTTAACACCAAGTTAAGTCAAATTAAAAGGTAAAAAAAAGGCCAAGATGAAAGATTCCCAAATTGATATTGCAACTTCCATTTTTTTTAGATGACCAACCTTCAGAAACAAAGAAGTGGGCAGTGTAGAAAGTGGCTTTGATGGCTGACAGGGTGTGCACCATACCGGGCTTATCAATCCACTCGAACGGGCTTTTCTCTGGGTGCCACTGCACCGCGTAGAAGGGATATCGAGACGCTACAGGATATAATGTAGTACAATTATTCACTTGCTAAAAATTTGAACAAAAAATACCTACCTAAATGTAAAAACCAACTAGTAAGTGTTTATAGGTGGAAATCAGTTTAATAAAAATCAGCCAACTGTGAGACTGGGATGGGTTACATCACACACACACACAAAAAGAGACACTGTGATGTACAGAGACATTCATACCCTCCATGGTGGAAATGAACTCTTTCTTGCCGTCTGTATTTGTGGTCAGGACCCTATAAAAACGCTTCAGCTTGGCATTGCCACTGTAATTCTGTAAGAGCAAACCATTGTTATACAGTGAATATACAATGACTGATCAGTATGCAAAAAGCAGTATGGGAAACGCAGAAGTCAACGTTCCTGTGTTTAATGGCTTTAAAGCAACACCGAGTAACTTTTCCTCTGCGGTCGCCCTACAGGTTGGAAGCGGAATTGTCCATTACCGCTGTTGTAAATAATTTAGCCTAGCGCATCCTACTGTCGCACGCACACTCGCTGTTTATCCAGCACCGGCTTTGGAATGAACGATGTCCACAGACAAGGTAGAGTATGTTGCATGATTTCATGAAAGTATGATGTATTGCGACATCAGAAACGAAGAAAAACAAAATAATGACTATTGTAACGCTTGACGTAACGCAAGTCAAATTTGTAGTTTTCTTATGTCTCATTAGAACTACAGAAACGCGACCCGACCTGGCAATCTTACATAGTGTGGTTATAGCAGATACAGGACCGCAAAGCGGAGGCAGAAGTGCCTTTCACCCTGTTACGACTTAATGAACCACTGAAACGATTTGGAAACATTATTTTAAGGTAAAAAAAAATCTTACTTAGTGTTGCTTTAATGTTGGTTTTATTGTTCCATTTTATGCCATGTGAAATTACTTCAGACAAAAATTCTCACATGCATTAAACGGCTGTATTGGTACCTGCATGGACAGGCTCCAGCTGTGGAAATTAGACGTGATGTTTTCTTCTGCCAGAGACTGAAGAACATCCTTTGGGAATTTTTTGAACAACCTGCTGTTTTGGGCTCCTGTAATCAATCAAAATCATTGACCAACTCACATTAATGAGCTAATGCATGAATTTGGTAAATCAGACAACACAAACTGCGGTTAGCCATTTCCGTCATTTATATATTCTGCCATGTTTATATACACTTATAAGGTAGAAGTATGCATTATTATACGTTTCCAACCATTAAGTGTCACTTGTAATCATTGTAAAGAACAACAGTGCTGAATTACTAGTGTGAGTTTGCCATTCCAGAACGGTGGAAAACACACAGATACAAACCCGGGCTGAAGGTCAACGGCAGGGTCACTGCTTTGGTGTCGGTCAAGGTCAACAGGTTCTTGTTGCTGGTCAGAACCGTGAGCTGCTGGAAACCCTGACAGGTTCCCCAGATCGGAAAATAATCCGAAACATCATTCGCCTGTAGTAGATCATAAAGACGAAGACTCAAAGTACAACCAGACCAATTAAAAATAGTTTTCACGGTTTCACTTTATTTTGATGGTCTTTCACACATTCTGTTGACTATAAGTAACGCTGCACCTACATGACTACTAACTCTCATTAGAGTGTTAGTAGAGTATTAGTAGACTGGTAGAGTTTGGGTCAGAATAAGTTGACATATAGTTGTAAAGTTACTTATCCTCAGTATAATGTCTGTTGTTGGAGGAGCATCACAATAAAGAGTTATTATGCAGACGGTCTACTAATACTCTAATGAGAGTTAGTTGACATGTAGTTGCAAAGTTACTTAGTCAACAAAATGCTCAAGAGGGACCATCAAATAAAGTGTTACCATTATCACATACGAGTTTGTGAACGTACCTTTATTGCAAGTTCATAGAAAACCTTCGACACTCTGGTAAACTGAGACTTTTCAATGTCCACATTTCCTCCGGGTAGCAACAGACTAACCAGGTTAAAAAAAAGGGGTAATAATCAGCAGAATAAAGGTGAATAAAAAAATACCTTTTGGAAAATCCAGTGGTTTGGAACATGGTGTGTCTGTTCTCTGGTTGGACCAGTTTCCATGTTAAATTACATTATAAATAATTATTAATTAAAATGTATAAATTAACACACCCTTCTTCCGGAGAGTCCTGATTTAAGACGGACGCACAAAGTTTCACATTAAAAGACAAGTACATGTTTTCCTTTACCTTTAAAACTTGCTCAAAGTATTAAATATATATCAATTACATTTTGCAGTTCGCTCCATGCACAGGGAGCGTAAAAAGAGGTAGAAATTTGACCAAATGCTGAATGCACCCTATGAACTTTAAAGCAAATTTGAGTTGTACATCTAGTGCAATAGCGGTTTATGTGACCGGATAAAAGATTAGAAAATATAAAATGTAGGTAATTTACCTAAAATAGTCGTGTAAATGCATGTAGAACAGATCACCATAATCCAACACGGATAGAAAAGTACTTTGCACTATTTTCTTTCTCCACATGGAAAACACGTCTCTACCAGCTTATGTCAAACTATTTAGAAACACTCACCCATTTATTGCGTTGAATAGTCTTTCATACTCCTCCTCTGTCCGATTTATGCTGCAAACAAACATTTATCTGCATGTATTCTTTATTTTAATGATTTTTTTTTTAGATTTTTTTTTTATACAGCTTGTTTTTAACATACCGGATGGGTACAACCCTGGCACCAGCTGACTCCAAGTGTTTCACATATGATGCAGCGATATAGGAAGATCCCTGTGCATGAGGGTCGTCCTCTAAGTTTTCCTGGGCTAAAATTCCTGAAATACAAAAAGACATGTAGGCTATATTAGAAAGAAAGGGGGTTTCAGCTACTGAAAAAATCAGGCTATAGGGGTTTGCAGGTCTTAGCTGGTTTAGCTTGTCAGTCAAGCTGGCGTCACAAACATCCAACCAGACTCATTTTACCAAGCCAGAAGACATTTAAGCATTTCTTTTTCTTTTATTTATTTTTTTTGTCAGCAAGGTTAAGGTCTTCCAACCATATGTTTAAACCCCTTTACGTGTTGCAATGACATTGAAGAGTTAATAAATAATTGAGAAGAAACTAGAATGTTCCACCAACGGAGCTGCAGAGAAAAAAGATGCTCCGATGAAAAAGAAAAAAAGAATCGCATGACATGGCAAAAAATATGAGATGTAAAATCATAAAATCAACATGCATCATACACTAGCCTACTTTAAACGGAACAGCACATAAAAAAATCTTAAATCTTAAAATCGATGATTCGAAATCTTAAATGTTATTCTTACCGATGATTGGTCTGTAATTTAAATTACGAGCGCATGATGCTGGAAACCCGCATTGAATAGCGGCGAAGACCGCGAGCACGAGCACCTGGCGATACATCCACCTCAGGTAACACACCAAAGGACGAAATAAACGAAAGCTCCTTGATGCTATCAATAAAGAACACAATATGTCAGCTCCACTGGCGATGTCAGGCTTTATAACGAAAGCTGCACCCGCTAATCCACAGTCGTCAGGTTAAACAAACAGCGCTTCGACACGCGCGTGAATTATTGAGGTGTGTATGTTCTTTCGCGAGGATCAGCTTTGAAGATTCACGATCCAATGAGAGCGAAAAGTCACGGCTGGCCCCGCCCACTTGATTCCTCACAATCGCATTACGTTCCTTCATTTAAAATGTTTCATACGTCGTCAGTTAGGCTACATTGTTCTTCTTAATTATGTTTTGTTGTCTAATGACGCCTAATCATAAGTGTTGTTCTCTTTTATAGAAGATACTTAGAAAAAAATAGCATGTAATTGTAAAAAAACAATAAATAAATAAAATGTAAGCACTTAAAATCTTGCTCACATGCCAACAGCAATATTAATCATATTTATGAACAAAGCACTGGCCATTTATTTTTTGCAAGCTTTTAATTGTGTTGAGTGAATAGTCTACAGGAGAAATAATGACACGTGGCATGATAAAATTCAGACAAACATTTTGTATTTTGAGTTTAATTTTCTATAAGGTGCGCTGACAATTACTTTTGTAGTTAAAAAGGTGACACATGAAGAAAAGAATACTGTTAACCATGTTTAATAAGTGAAGGGAAGACCAAGTATGGTAACTCATACTCTGAATTTGTCCTCTGAATTTAACCCATCCAAGTTAGTGCACACACATAGGAGCAGTGAGTAGTGAACACACACACACACACACACACACACTAACTGCACGCCAGTGAACACACATACCCAGGGCATTCTTGCTGTGGCACAATGCACATTGTCTTTTTAAAAAGTTATAAAACAGTTTATTTCTTTGTAAACAAGAAAAAAAATTAGCAATCAATTTGGTTGATATCTGAGCTGTTCTTTTCTGATCTGCTTTTATGGATGTGATGTCAAAACCCAAAACAACAACAGTAACCACGCCCACCAGAGCAGAGAGGACCAATCGCATCACAGCTTCAGTAGATCCACAACAGTGGACACATTCTGAGTCTGAGGAGATAAAAACAACAATAAACTTATAAAATGACTGATGATATGCTGCTGACTTCAGTAAATAAACACTAATATCACCTGCACATGTGTGGCAGAGTGTGTTGATGTCCAGATGTGTGGTCTGGTTGCTGAAGACATTTTAATAAATAGCCTAACTTATCAACAAGACCCAGCCAGCAGAACAGAACAAAACAAACACATGGGCCATTTTCAAGCTGTTCGCTAAAGTCAATAACTCAAAATGAATGTCAACATTAAGAGTGACCAGGCGATGCATGAGATGTGAATCCTCCTCTTACAGGATGTGACACACACACACACACACACACACACACACACACACTCGCTGAGGACGCAGTGCTGATGTTAGAGTTGCAAACATGTTTTAATACATGCAGCATAAACCGCTTCTTGTTATCTGAAAGCCACAGGTAATTTAATTTTTTTTAGTTTTTTTGATGCAGTATCCTATATTTTTGAAGGTGAAATAAAATCATAAAATAACATTTTAGTAACTACATTTACTATATTATTTCACTGTATAACGTTTGTTTGATGTTCAGACTATGATATTCATGTTAGTGGAAGAAAAGAAACTCTTCACACACACACACACTCATGCAAGCTTGTCCACCGGACAAATGAAACCACATTTTGTCCTGGATAACTAAATGAGACAACAACAGGTTTCACTTCGACTCACAAACTGAACAGATTGTCATGCATTCAGTGAAACACATATACTTCTCTTTGGCTTTATAAAAACATATACTTAGTTCTTGTGGGTCGATTCTAAAATGCTTAAAAATGACACTAAAACCGATTGTTGTGGGTAATATTGCTATGACTGCAAAATTCGACCTTTGCTTTTTTAGAGAATATGACAATGCCATTTGTAAACTCAGACATTGATGGGTATTGCTCCAACTTGATTTTAAATCTTGCAAATGACCTTGCTTTTTTAGCATTCACATTTACACATAGACTAGTCCAAAAATATGTGTCTTTTTTAAACAAGACAAAAAGTGAAATTGAAGCTGTACCTTGGGATGTCAAGTGAAGTTTTCTACATGCACTGCATGTTGTATGAAGTCAGGCTTGAAATTTGTTTTCTTATAAAATCTGTTCTTTGCAGAGTCTCTGGCTCTCTATCGACATCTAATGGTTAGAATATAACATTGAAAGTTACTGGTGGAGGAACATTTCAGGAAAAAATGGCTCATTGACATTTTTAATAGTAGCCTTGGCTACGGATTATCATTGTTAAAAAAGCTTGTTTTATTGATTTTTTTTTTAATTGAAAAATATATCATGCACAAACAACATGGCAACAATAATACATCACTGCGATACAATAGTAAGATCAGGTGCAAAAATGGATTACAAGGAAAGAAAAAAAAATAAAGAAAAAAATTAATAAAATAAAAATAATAATTAATTAATTAATTGAACTAAAGAGCAGGGTTTATTTGACAAGAAACACGTTGTGAAATACAAAAATCTTTGTTGCTGCTCATATAAGTCCAAAGATAATGTCCTTTTGAGAGAGGATTCCAAGATGAGGAAAGTTTGGGTAAAGCCTGTGTGTCATGAACATCAGGCCATGAAGACTTCCGTGACAGAAGTGAACTGAAACCTCGTTGGTGTGTGATAGATGGCAATATGGGTAATTTCCCATGTTTTACAGTCTATGGTCATTTCCCATTTCTCTCTTGCGATCGGTCAAGCGTGTAAACCTATCTCTGAGCTCCTTTAAGGAAGTCTAAATCACTCTTTTTTTGTGTGTGGAAACTTTCATCAAGAATAGACACCATGCAGTGAACTTCAGTCAATCGGCTATCATTGGGTTCATTGTCTCTTTTGGAGTAGCCTAATTTTTAATCCTGTCTGTGCAGAAGTAAGTTCTGAATCTGAGATGTGACGGGACGAACATTCGGACTCTTTCCACTTTTCATGTCTCTTCACTCAAATTTTAGGCTACTCAACTGTACATCGATATGAAGAGCATTTTTTTCATTTTTTTCGCACATAGACGGTAAGTTGTAGGCTAAACATTGTTTAAGGCACTTTCGGTTTCAATCGTTTGAGCCTGTAGGCTACAGCTTTATGAATAGCACTGCACAATACTTTAATAGCACTGCAGGTAGGTTCAACAATTCACCAAAAAAATATATAAAAAAAAATAGACGTGTGCATTTTTTCCAAAATGGGAAAGCTAATTGTTTTATTAAACGAATAGTAGGCCTATGCTATTGACCTTTATAAGAACTTGGTAGGGCAAACACTCTTCACCATTAAGCGAAGATGGGGGACAAACCAAAACGCAATTCTCTAGTCGATCAGATCTATTAACAGTGTCGTAATCTAGACCCTTTTCCCACATTTCCTATTTGTGGCTGTGGCAGATCGGGAAGACAGCAATACAGATAACATTTTCCTACTTCTAAAGGTATTTGCATAAATTCCTTTATAATGACATGGACTGAACCCTGTCAGTTTTAAACGAAGCAGTGGATGGTTTTCTGACAGCAACACACAACTAACCACGCCTCAGAGATTGTGTTAAATCTCTGCTGTCTGCTCCTCAGACGCTACACATTTAGCCGACACGTTTACCAGAAATCAAAATCAGAACAATTTACACCGATCTTCCTGTCTAAAAGTTTAAATCCCTCTGACTGTAAGTGTTTCCTTCTTGAGGAATAGTGAATGTTTGCAGCTTTTACTAGTTGTGTATCGCTTTCTAGTAACAGATGCCTGTGCTCACGACTGACTGTCTACTTAAAGGGATAGTTCACCCAAAAAATGAAAATTGGCTTTTAATTTTTTAATTCTTCAGTAGAAATGTACGTTTTTTTAATTATTTTATTTTTGAACTGAAACCTTGATCCTTGGTGATTCATAGAATGCAAGTTAATGGCTACCGTGACTGAGAGTCGAATATATATATGGCTTCTGAAGATTCATTGAGGTCTTATGAAGTGAAACAATTGGTCTGTGCAAGAATCTAAACATTATCAACATTATTACCTGTAATATACACAGCCTTGGCAAACGGACCTGAGCCCGTTCACAACATTCTGGAGCGCGAGCTTCCTGTTGCATAATGACGAAAGCTCAAAAGTTGGGAATCTGTGTCAAAAAGTACATCTTCCTGATCGACCCGATTTGTTCTAAGAACGTTTTCCAAACAATCTGGTTTGGTTATGGAAACATTAAAATGTCCAGTTTTCTTAATGTTAAAGGGATGTTTTTTAAAAGTTATAGGCCTAGGTTGATGTTCCTGAAACATTCTTTCAACGTAATTTCTATCAAAAACTTTCTAGGAACGATGAATTGTTTCCATGAACATTAAAAAAGCCCAGTTTCCGTAATGTTTGGTTGCATGATGTTCCCGAAACATTCTTTTTAAACATTCGAACACCTGCTGTTGACAAGCAGAATCATTGAAGGAGAAACAACAAGAACAGAAACTACAACTGACTTCAGCCACAACCTTAGATTAAATCAACTGAAGATAAAAGAAGACATTAAATATCTCAAGATCTCAGTATGAAGAGGATTAATCAACTCCACAAACAGCACTACCAGCTTCACTTATTACTAACCAGACTTTATTTTTGTCAGACGCCTACAGAAGTTCTTATTAAAAAGGTACAGAGGTTTAGATGTTGATGTTTGGTGGGAAATGTTTTGTTTGGAGTCACCATTAGGGTGATCAGTGTTTTCTTTAGTTGGGCCCTTGACTTTTGTTAGTTTAATTCTCTCAGTAATTGCTGATGTTTTCAGAAAGTAAATTGATTATAAGAAGATGTGTAGTTTCATCACTGACTTAAAGGGAATTTTCATCAAAACATTTTTTTAAATTCTGTCATCATTTTCTCACCCTCATGTTGTTCCAAACCTGTATGAGTTTCTTTCTTCTGCTGAACACAAAGGAAGATATTTTGAAGAATGATGGTAGCAGCAATTTACTTCCATAGTATTTTTTTTCCTACTATTGGAAGTCGATCACCAACATTCTTCAAAATATCTTC